TTTGGTCTCACAGTACTGGAGGCTGAGTCCAGGGTCTCCAGGAGAACTGATTTCCTTCTGCTGCTTGTCATGGCTTCCTTCCATGCCCTGTCCGATACATTGCTGTGTTCTCATTTAACTTTCCTCCATGCATATTTCCGTGTCCAAATTTCCTCTTCCAGGGTACCAGTCATATTAGATTCCAACCTGCCTCAATAGCTTCATTTTGTAAAGTTACAATTAGTGTTTTTTCATAAAATAATACATTATGATCATGTTTTCCCCTCCTTCAACTCCTCTCAGAGCCTTTATACCCATCCAATTCCATGCCTTCTTTCTCGATCTCTTTAGAAAACATAAAGACCAATAAAAAATAAAACAAAAAAAAATCAGAAAAAAAGAAAAAGCGCGAGAAACACAGAGATGGAAGGAATTAAAAATCAAAAGACTAAGATCATAAAAACATGTAATCGGGAAACATAATATTTAAGCAAAAGACCCATAAGGTAGAAAATGCCAAAGTATTATGAGACAAAACATCTCCAAAAATACAACTGAGTTTGTTTTGTGTTAGTGTGGCTTGGAGCCTGCCCTTCAGTGTGGTTTGTGTACCCAGTGGACACCATTGGAGAAAACGGATTTTTCCTTGCCAACTAGTGATAGCTTCTGGGTTAGGGATGGGGACTACTGTCCAGTTACCCTCTCACACTGGGACCCTATCTGGCTTGGGCCTGTGTAGGCACTATGAATGCTGCCAGTTTCTGCAGCTTCATGATGCATCAGTCCGGCTGTGTCAGTTATCACTGTTTCTCTGTGCTTTCCAACACCACTGGCTCTTACAGTCTGTTTCCTCTTCTGCTTAGCTCCCTGAACTCTGGGGGCAGGATTTGAATAAGTCATTCCATTTAGGACTGAGTGATCCCCAGTCTCTCAGTCTCTGCACATTGTCCAGTTGTGGGTCTCTATACCAGTTCCCATCTACTGTGGAAGGAAGCTTCTTTGATGATGGCTGAACTGAGGGAGGCAATAATCTATGGGCATACCAGAATGTCATAAGGAGTCATTAGTTTGCTATGTTCCTTTGGAAGAACAATATTATTTGGTTTTCCCCTAGGTCCATGCCTATCTAGTCTCAGGTTCAACGACTACATTTTAATTTAATTACACTCATAAAGAACCTACCTTGAAATAATGTCATACTGAAAATTGAGCATACAAACTTTAGGAAGATGTATCTCATAGCAGTAGCTATAAACCCATCCCTAGCAGTCTTCTCACAGACCATCCTTATGCAGCTCTACTGGATGCTCCTCAGATGGTTTTTGTTTTCATCTTACATACAGATAGACTTGCCTATTAAAGCCAGTCAAGTAGTATTCAGATGTAAATGGCACATCTACATCACTATCACCCTTTCCTTCCCCCTAAGGCTGAGGGAACATCATCAAGGAAAGGACAGAAAGAACTTGACCATATAGGGAGTTTTTGAAATGCTGTCTACTGGACTTGACATGGTTCCTAAGACCCCACCCTTCCTTGAGGAGGCAAAGGTAGTTAATTGTTGTTGCAGGAGGAGTCACAGTCCTCAGGGGGTGTAGCCACTGGTAAGATGTCCATTTGATAGTAAATATTCCCCCAGCCATGCTCATACAAGAAACAATAATGAAATACAGCACCACAAACAGAAAAAGTCAGGGAAGCAGGGGTACTTTTCGGAAAGGATGGGTTTGATGGGAGGAGGGATAAAAGAGTATAACTGGCAAGATATGATCCAATTGTATTTACAAATCAGTTCAACTTTATCAGATAGTTACATACTCCTCTGCTGCTCCTTCCTAGGTCTTTTTTAATTTACCAGGAGGTAGTAGCACACGCCTGTAGTCCCAGCACTCAGGAGGCAGAGGCAGGCAGATCTCTGTGAGTTCAAGGTCAGCCTGGTCTACAGAGTGAATTCTAGGGCAGGCCCCAAAGCTAGGGGCCTGCCCTAGCTTTGGGCTTGATGCCTCCCCTCACCCCTCACCCCCAAAGTCTTTTAACTTAAAACACTTCAGGTGTCAAAACTCAGAGTTGCTACAGATGACTGGACATTCTTTGAAAAACAGGAAGTCCTTAGCCTGTCACTTCAACCTGCATTTATTACAGTACAAGTTATTAGGCACTGGTAACTGTCTTACATTTATATTTATCTCCGCAACTGGGCTGCATGTTCTGATGATGCAAATACACAGCTCTCGCCTCAAAGGGAATAAGAATCTATTCTGGAGCAAATGTGAGTGATTGTGACTCAGAAACACGGAAGCAGGATGGCCAAACACCATGAAGTTATCATAGTAGAACAAAGAAGTCATGCGTTACTTTTAAAGTACCTTGAAATATCTTGGAATGAAAATATCTTGTTGCAGGCACAAGAAAGAGGGGCATTCTACTGTGGGACTCAGATGTTAACAAATGACAGTCTTAGCTTTTGGGGTGGGAGCAGCTAAAAGTCAGTACATTCAAAAAAGAATCTTACCTGATAGTCTTGGGGTGAACAATGAATGGTTATTGAGAAGGCAGACAACAAAGATAATTTCCCTCTGACATTCTCTATAATCACTCAACCTTTAACCAGTTAATCAGATTTGTAGAATCGTTAACACAGCTCTGTGAGGAAAAGGCCCATCGTACCATTGTTACTATTGTGTGTCCAAAAGTTTAACAAATAAGTGGTGAGTATACTTTCTTTTAGCCAAGGCTGGTACTACAGGACTATACCCAAGCAGGTGTAGAAAGAGGTCCAAGTTCAAGTCCTGCCTCCTAGGACCAAGACCAAGGCAATCCTGGGTTAATTAAGTGAGAACCAAATTAAAAAACACTGGCTATAGCTCAGGGGTAAACTACATAGGTTCAATCCCCACCGCAAAACAAGTGTAAAACTTGAAATATCACAGACTTCAGGAAATAAGAGATGAATGGGAAAAAAGCCACACCCCCATCAGTTTCTGTATATCCTGGGGCATTCTGTGGTTTGGAGTGAATCAATAACCACCTGACCCTATCCTGGATGTAGCCTGACTACATCCTGTAGTATTCTTAAGGGCTCTTGATGAATGTGAGTCATAAGCATAGGAAACTATTTCTAGGGAGCTCTAGAATAGACATTGAGTAAATAATTCCCATTGTTGACCTCCAAAATTGTCACCCATGGGTTATGTAATGAATTCACAAATGAGGAAATTTTAACATTGGTGAGAAAAGAATAAATACCCAGTCTGTTGAGCTCCTTTCACCACACATAGGAAATAACTCCACATGTTTGGGGAGTCAGTGAGCATGTTATGGGTTAAAGAAGCATGCTGCTTGAACTAAAGCAATCTCTGCAATCAATGGTGGTTACAGGGAAGGGAGGTCCTTTGAAGAGACCTGACCACCACCCAGCCCCCTGCTTTAGCAGCCATGACAGGCTGCAGAAAAGACACAGCAAGATGTAGGCCTCTGACTCAGCCCATGTCTGACCTTGCCAGACATGCCCCAGTCACTAGGAGGTCAGACACCCTCCACGTGGCAGGTAATCAATCAGAAGTTAGCTGGCAACCTCTGGCTCTGCTTACCATAAAAGTGACCATAACAGTGGCATGCAGAGCATAGCAACTGCCCTGGGAGGGCCTATAAGCCATAGCAACCAGTTGACCAATCATCTCAGGACAGGTCCAACCCCAGAAGTGTGGAGAGCTGCGATGCGCTGCGCCTTAAAGATGGCACCGGTTTCCGCCTTCCACCATCCCGAGGGTGAGCGCTCTCTGGAATAAACAACTCCTTATTTGGCTTGGTCTAAGATTCAAACTTGCATCAGCAAATGCGAGCCTATCCGCCTTAGCCACCTGGCGTTCTGGGGTTGGCTAGCAAGAGTGCTTTTAAGCTGGCTTTCCCCGGGGTCAGAAGATTGTTTTTCCTGAGTAAACTGCTTAAGGAAGAGTCTCAGCATTGCGTCTTCCTTGCTGGTCGAGACATAGAAGGGCACCAATCCTGAGACTGCTGTGGCTCCCCTTGCTTACTCCAGTAAATTCCCCACCTCCCTGTTCCCTGAGGGTCACAGGCTGATGTTACCAACCCCAGTGAGAGTTACATTTTTAACTTGTTAAAATTAAATGGCACTAGGAGTCTCTTGTTGAAAAAACAAAACCAAACAACCAACCCAAGAAAACCCAAATCTTTCCTACAAAGCATAAGAATTCCTCTAAAGTTTACAGCAGTGACAACAAAACATGGATATTAGACTTTATGTGGAGGAACTCACAAGTCTGAGGTCAATTTCTCTGCTTCAAAGGCTCCCCGTGAGAATTGGGCTGCTTTGTTTCCCTCCCCGTCTACCTTGATAGACTGAACCCTAAAACTATGCAGAAAAAATTTCAGTCTTCCTTTTAGTTGTCTCAGGAAACAGAAGTAACTAATACAGTAATGGTTGACATTAAAGTTCTTACCTCCCTATGTATTTAGGGATCTTAACATTCTCAAAGAATGTGGGGAAGGGCAGCATTAAAAACCACTAGTTAAAGGAATCTAAATAATGAACATACTACTTTCAGCCTATTCACTAAGCCACAAATGTAGGTACAACATATAGACATTCTCTTACATGCTTTCCTACTCCTTAGGTTCCCCTGGTTAGCCAGCTGTTTGGACCAAAGAGGCCAACTGGCTACATTCAGTCTAGCGAACTTCTCTAGGGAACAAAGAATTGTTTCTAAGAATCCAACAATGATGTGACTTTTCGCCTGTACAGAGAAATACAAGACGGGTATCACAGCTGCCATGTGGACAAGAAAACAAGTCAAGTTCAATGGAAGATTAAGAAAGAGGGGCAGAAAGAGTATTGGTCTGAGTATTTGGTCTGAGAGCTGTGGAACAGAGTTGTTTCTTAACTTGGGTTCTATGAGTCTCTACCATATCACCATCATGATAAAATTCCTGGGTTCCTAGCACTTACAACCAAAGAGGCTGTTAAACTACACCCTATCTTCAAAAGAAAACACAAGCTACACTTCATATTGGAAAAGTATTTATTATGACAAAAATAAAACTGTGGACTGAAAACAAATGGATGTTATGCTATATTGCACCATGATTGCAAATGAGCCAAAAACCTGTCTAAAAGATTAACATTCCAGAGCAAGCTGCATCTTTTTACTTGAGTAAGTTGGCATGCACACAATTCATTAGAACATAATTGCAGAAATGAAGAATCATGAGCATGACCTAACATATAAAAGAAGCATTTCATGACAGTAAAAAGTATTAAAATTCAAAACCATGTCTTTTCAACAACCTCACAATCAAACAAGCTTGGAACCACTTGGGAGGAGTGATGGTGTCAAATGCATTTGGCATTTGCTTTTACATTTTCTTAGTTGTTGCTTAAGTATTAGAGCAATGGCACACACTTCGGTTGCTTGTTGAGGGTTCAGAGCGGCATGTGGTATGAACGATACTGTTTCCTCCTGTGTAAACACCAGAGGGTCCACAAAGAGATGGGGTCCGACCTTGATCTTATTAATAATATCTGCTATTGAACCAAGCTGCTTGGCAAAGATATTGTTAGAACACTTGCACAAAGCCTGAGCTGTAACCAAGACAATTTATATTTGAAACTTATGAAATGAACATACGTGTACATTTAAAGAGTTTTACAATCTGCGCTAGAAGTATAATGAGTACAGGGTCTGCTTTCTCTTTACTGTTATAAAGCACCAAGTTATATGTGAAGATGATAATGTGTAATTACAATCATTACACTCCCCTTAGAACAAATGAGACAGCATTTGTAACTGACAGGAATTTGCTTTCCTTATTCTAAACTATATTCTGTGGAACAGTTGAGAATGAGAAAATAGAAAACTATCTCATAATTGGAAAGGCAATAACCATCATATTATTTCACAATTTCAATGAAACAGCAGCTAACCTTTTTTCAAAACCAAGATGAAGAATGTTGACAACTAACTGAAAGTTTACTCCAAGAGAATAAACAGGGACCTCAGAGTCCCTGAATTTCCTGAGGGAAAATTCATGTGAAAATGACTAATATCTCATTACTATAGCTAAAACATGCCAATAAATCATGAAGTGAGATCAAACGATGCTCACCTGCTGTCCTAGCAAACTGATAGTCACAGTCTATCACTGATGATCGAATTACAGGACTTTCCTTTCATTAACTCATTAAATATTGACTGAGTGCTTGCTCAAGTGCATTGAATGGAAGGATACCTGTTCACCCTGGGGCTGGGAAACAAAGACTAAAACAGCAGCCCCACCTAGCACTTGCTTCTGTGGGGAATCTGCATAAGATTCAAAGACATTTGGGTGAAGGAGGATTTACTGCACTGCACAATATCTCAGACACTTAAAGCACCTTGTGGACTAAAAAAATGAGGTATTTTTTTAAAATTAAAATTTGCTAAGTTGTGTAAGAAAACATTTCCATTCTTTTAGAAGCTTTGTTTTCTATATTCAGTCTACACACTGCACATTTTATTATTTCTCCATTGCATGAGAAAATGCAGAGAGAGAATTAATTTTAAAAAACCAAGATGCCCCCCGAGAGACTGAAGTCCCGAGAGTCTAACCCAGAATGCTAACCTGTCTCACACTTTCTAACCATATTAAATGCAATACAGAGGATCTAGTTTTCCCATGCTGCCAGAATTAAATGCACAGAAGGAAAAAAAAATCCCTACTCTTGCACCCATATTTTATTACATAATTTTAGATGATTTTACCAAGTTTGTCTGATTTTCAATTTATTTCTGGAATACTTGTAATCCTCCCAATAAACATTCAAGCATTTCACCAAATATACAATTAAAGCTGATTTTAGGTCCAGCTGAACACTTTGTTTCTTACTTTAAAGTAAAATAATAGAATCCTTCCCCCCTCCTTTTGGCCTCTATTTAGCTTTGGTCACCTAGAATTCTTAAAATACACCCTTCTTTTGAAACCTGACTCTTGGGTTTCAGTCTTCACACACTAATATTAAATAAATAAAGATGAGAGGACATCAGCCACTTTCACACTTAAGTGGACTTAATTAAGTCTGTAACATACTGATGTCCTGTTCCAAGCTACTCTTTCAGCACTGGAAAGCTGAAGTGTTTGAGATGCCTTCAGGCAATAAACAGAACAAGCTAACCACTTCCATCAAGTCAGCAAAGCCAGAAAAATAAGGTATGTTTTTTAGAAGAGGGTTTCCAATACACATGGGTGCTATTTATAAGCAATCCAATGCCATTTTCTGATGAACATGGCTTCTCTTTTGCATTGTCATTAGCTAGAAATTCAGTTTGAGCCAAAGGAAAGTTATTAATTTATATTTTGTTCCAACCTGATTGTACATAAACACTAGAGAAAGTGATTCCAGGAGTGGGACTCAAACAATGAAAAAACTTAAATGTGGTAATACAAGCATTTCCCTATTATTTTAGATTAAAAAAAAAAAACAGTAATAGTACATAAGCCTTCAGTTGAGACTTACTTAAAGGCCCCTCAGTTTGGGAAGAACAAAAAGAAAGGCATGAACAATGGTCAACTAGATAAATGGGCAGATTAAGATCAGAATCCACTTCTTTGGACAGCCAGTGCAATGTTTGCCTAAATGCAGACAAGAAGCTGTATCTTGAAGTGACCCACTGACAGGAGATTAAAGGACCCTTAAAACTAAAGTTTAGGTGTGTGAGGATTTTGTTCCAGAGCCACAGATAAAAAGTTAACTCACAAAATAGGCCTCTAGAGATAAGTGCCAATAAATTTTCATGTAGTGGCACAATCCCTGTCTGTTTGCTACTGTGTGCTTTACACAGTGTAGGATTAAATGAATGCTTTGGGAAATAATTCTGCTTATAATCTGTTCTGAGATATAACATCAAAGATTTGAAAGTTCTATTTTCTTCAAAGACTATACTTTGAATTTTCTTCAAAGACTATACTTGAATTTTCTTCATGTCTATACTTGGCAGCATCAAAGACTACTGTTTATAGCATTGTCCATACCCTTCATTGTTCCCACAGGAAAATAACTGTTTTCTCTTTATGCTACAATGAAAGGTAAATTATATTTAATTAAAATAGCTACGGCAATTGTGGCACTGAGGATGCAAGAGGCAGGAACTATTACTATGGGAGTTATTTAAATTTGTTGTTTAAAAAATGAAATGTATATATTGTCTCTCTAGTAAATAAGGAATAAAAGTACTATTCCCTTAAGAATGTTAACACAAGAAGCTAAAAGCAAACATTACATATTCAAATCTCAGTTTTCAATAGATTATTTATATATATTAATATTTTTTCAGTTTTAAGAAATTAAATCACATTAACAATAAAAATATTTTGTGCATTCCCCTACAAAAGCAAGTACTACTACAGTAACTCTCAAATGTGTTTCTAGGTGAAGATAGCATGGTCAGGTAAGAAAATGGCACGCTTGACTTGCAAGGGTAGTTTTTTTTTTTTTTTTTGCATTTTTTAGCTGTAACATATTGAGTAGATTTTAGATAAACTTATTTTTTCATTTTTTGAATTAAAAATACAAGATAATTTTCTGAAGGTATAAAGCAGGAATAGGAGGTGTCTGTCAAATACAAACTTTACAGAGTAACATGTGGAGACAATGGAGAATGTGAGACACACATCCCCTTCCCTCCATCGCATCACTGTTAATGTGACCTCTAAACAACAGAGCAAAAAATCCAGAGCTCGTCTCAAAATAACAAAGGCACCATCACAAATTTACATTTTTCATCAAATAATATTTTACAGCCATTTGATTTACAGTGAACATTTAAGCCAAATGCTTTAGCATCATATACTTGTTTGGGTCCAAACATTCTCTTGGAGTAAAGGAAAACTAGTTTCTTGCTGTTGTAAACAAAAACTGATAAAAGCCTCTAAACTTTCTAATGGACCCTATCCCAATCAATGGCACAATGTCTACTTGAATACTGATTTCATACTCAGATAGCTAACATATGTTGCTTCTGCTCCAAACTAACCATATGCTTTTAAAAAAGGATTTAGAAGTAAAATAAACTGTACTTTTAACAATTAAATAGCAAATTTGTATCTATACTAGTAGCTGTTTGGCAAAATACAATCAACTATTAAAAACACTTTCATATAATGCTGATGTGGTAATATAAAAAATAACCATATTATCTGATAGAAGAAAATTGAACCAGCCAATCTTACTAGATACAAGGAGACAAATAATTATTTCTTAAGAAGAAATATTGGGGCATTAAATATACTTTATCTCCAGACAGGCTTATGAGAATTTTTTATGTTCATGGTAAACAATAAAAAAGTAAAGTTCAGGCAAAGTGTGCTTTAGGTAACTGGTATTTTCTTAGTTCCTACCTCCCAAACGAGAAACACCATCCACATTGATTTATATCTGCTTTTCTTGCTCGCTTTTGATTATGAGTTATACTTAAAACACACAAGAAAATTAAACTTATCCTCTACTTGGCATAGAATCACTAAGAAAAAGAGTCAAAGTTTAAACAATTTCCCACAGCCCAGAAAACTTGTCCTCTGGCCACTTTCTCATATCAAGGGTGCAACACTAAATTAAAAAAAAAAAAAATCAAGTTCAACTAAATTAACTAAATAAAACAAATGAGTACACTTGAAAGGGAGCAAAATTTAAGGCAATTTACATACAAAAAAACCTGAAATTAAAGTAACAATTTTGAGCAGATATTTATGAACACTGAAGCTTATTTTGACCCAAATAAAAAATACTACAAAGGAGGAACTACTCCTAAGTACACATTATATCCCTTTCATACAGCAAATGACACACACAAAATTAACAGGGGTAACGACAAGACTTGGGTTCACTTGTACTTTCATCTTAGACAACTGCCTTGGGAACCATTCATACCGTCCGGTAAGTCTAATGCATCAGGCCCTTTCCCTCTATTTTTGTAACCAATAAAAGCATATAAGTTGTTAAGAATATAACAGCCTGTTCTACCTAGTGAGTTCCAGGCCAAGGTCTACTCATTGAAACCCTGCCTCGAAAACTCAACCAAACAAAACCAGAATACAAGTGTTGAGTCTTATAGGAATATTCTAAAAGCCAGGGTTAGATTAGGGTTATTCTAAATGCCCTATAGGATTTTAGGACACAAAGTGTACCTGGGGGGGGGGGTTGTAACTGTTTGAAACCTCTTTCACATCAGCCTCAGCCACATTTAAAATGGTATTTTCCCTTTCAGTAACATACTGCTGGTGATAAAGATGCTCCAACAGATACCCCTTCAAACCTAAGAAAATGAAAAGGATTGTTGGTATTTTGGCTGCTGCCTAAAGCAGGTTTGGTATCGCTGACAAAATAGCTTAAGTTTTTGCTGACAATAAAACAGGTAGGAAACTGATAGAAAAACATATTCCAAGTGTCCTAGCTTAATTTCATGTTGGTGTGTTTTACTAAATTCTGACAGTTATATATACAGTGAAAATCTTAAGCTATCAAATGGAGCCAAAAATATTTATCATTGAGGCTGGCTTTCAAATTTATGCTTTGCCTTGTGTTTTTAACCAAGCATTGTTGACACAAAAGTGAACTTAATTCCTTACATAAAGAAATGGAATACTTAATGGAAAGAGCAACTTACAATTAAACTATGATATGCAATGAGGTGAGGGAAAATTTAAAGGCAAAAGTATTCATGATGTTTACTCTTGCGCGTGCGCACACGCACATACACGCATACGCACACGCACACACACACACAGCTTCTAGGTAGATTTTCATCATTGTAATTCTGTCCAAAAGATAAAAAGGGTTCGTAGAGAACAGAACAAAATGTTTAGTGCTGGACAAGTAGTAGATGACAATTCCTACTACTGTTCTGTCAAACCACTAAGACCTGGGAGGGAGAGAGTGGTGGCCAAGAAGTCAAAGAAACGGGTTATAAAGGACATAACAATACTTCAGATAACATGAAATATATGACAAACAGTTTTTACAAGGCAGTCACCGAATAATTAGAATAAGCAGTCAGAAGAGTTCTGTTGCTGCAAACATAGTTACACATTATGCTCATCCGACTGAAGATTAGTGCATCTGAAACAAAGGTAAGAAAACATCTTTATGTTCCAGTACAGCGGCACTTGATTCAAGTGTTGCTCAGAGGTTTGTGTTGTTATAAATTAAACATGCTGCTGCCTCAGCAGCCAAAGGTATTAGGAAAAATGTTCATGTCACGGAATAAATAGAGAAGTCTTTTCAAGCAAAAGATTATCTCACACCAATCCTGGAGGTCATCCACTCTAGACCTTGGCACAACCTAAACAAAAAACAGAAGTATTTTAGGAATCAGAAACTTTCCACTGAAAGGGTGAAGCCCGTATTTATTAAGTCTTACCTAAAGGTTCTTGCTATAGTCAAGTGCTATTTATGGACATTTAGTGACAACCTTTTTTTTTTACCCCCACAAGAAAGGGTCTCATGTAACCCAGGTTAGCCTCAAATTCTCTCTGCAGAAAGGATGAACTTCAGCTTCTGATCCTGCTGCCTTGACCCTACCTCTCAGTGCTGAGATTACAGACACATGCCACCACACTCAGTACATGCAGTAGTGGGGACGGAACCCAGGGTTTTGTGCATGCTAGGCAAGCAATCTTCCAGCTGAGCTAGATCCCCAGCCTCTGTCTGGGACAGCAATCCTAAGTGAAATTGTAATGGAAGTGTCACTTAAACAAAATGATCTTAACCATTTAAACAAAGTGGCAAACTGCTCTGGTCTCATCTCAAGTTCGTCTTCCTGGTCTTCAGTTCCATTAGTGTCTCTCTTGAAAATGGTTTTTATATTGTTTTTCAATCTTAGAAGTTATTAAAACAGGATATACATTCTTGGAGAAGAATGACTCAGTTAAGTCTTTCTGGAAAATGTATAACTTCTTTATACCTTTCTCTTTAATTCAGGTGACAATACAGTTTCTGCTTAGCAAGTAAATGATGAAAGCAACAGATGAACAAAAAACCTCAGTTCTAGACATTTAATCCCAAAGCTGCTTTTGCCTTTGAAAACACTGCATTAAAAAATATGAAGAACTTGTGGTAAATTGTTCACTAGAATTATTTCCAACTTTTTTTGTTCGTTTATTTTTCGAGACAGAGATTCTCTGTGTAGCCTTGGACCCTTTTCCTGGAACTCGATCTGTAGACCAGGCTGGCCTTGAACTCACAGAGATCTGAAGGCTTCTGCCACCCGGGTACTGGGCGTAAAGGCATGTGCCACCATTGCTTGGCTATTTCCAACTTCTAAGATTGAAAAAGAATATAAAAACCATTTTAAGAGAAACACTAATAGAACTGAAGACCAGGAAGTAAAACTGTCCTTGAACTGTGAAAGGACCTTGTGAGTAGCCCCAACCACACCTACCCTTCTCCTGTCAGTGCACAGCACGACTGGATGTGCCATGGGTGGTCCTTAATTGAACTAAGGGTGAGGTATTTGGAGATTTCAGCTGCTGTCATGCACCCTTTCATATCCTGTTTATTTGCAAAGATGAGAACTGCTGCTTTCCTTAAATCCTGCAATTGACACAAAATACACAAATACCAAACATGTGAACAATCACAAATCAAATTAATATATGAACTATCATAAAACAAATTAAACTACGAAGTGAAAGTGTAAAATATACCCTCTGCTTATTATAGTAAAACACCCCATTTAAAATATCTTATACTAACTTTTAATTTTAAAATTATCACATTTTTAATGATTCATCCTAATAAAGTATATGTCTAAGTCATATAATTAAGTCATTTTTCTATTTTTGGATGGAAATGGTCAGATTGAAAAGAAAATAAATATCAGATTAAACACTAATTTAATACTACATGTGTGATTCTCTATGTAGGTGAGAACAAGGTAAATTTACTAGCTTTCACAGAACTCAAACTCACTGAATAGTGTTCACTTTGGGTTTTGTTTTTGTTTTTTTACACAATCAAAACAACATGACATAACCTGACAAAATAGATCAACATACTTATACAATGAAATATTATCACTTCTGAAAGCAATGAACTTCAGCTATGTACCTAATTTTTAGCTATGCACATATTAACATAGCTAAATCTCATGTTTACTTTGGGGATGGGGGTGAGTGCCAATGCAACCACTAATGGTGGACAGTATGGAGCCCCCACAAAAAGCTAAAAATATAATGACATATGACTCGGTCATACCATTACTGGATATACACCTCAAGAATTGTTTTGTTTGCCTGGGTTTTTTTTAGCTTTGTTTTTCAAGACAGGGTTTCTCTGTGTAGCTTTGGAGCCTGTCCTGGAACTCGCTGGCCTTGAACTCACAGAGATCCACCTGCCTCTGCGTCTGAGTGCTGGGAATAAAGGCATGAGCCACCACTGCCTGGCTCACCTCAAGAATTCTTAAGCCAATAGGCCACATAGAACCATGCACATCCATGTGTTTTGTTGCACCAATCATGAAAAGCACAAAATGGAAGTGGTCTAGATGTTCATTAGCAACTGAGTACAGAAAATGTGGTACACACACAGTGAAAATTTTCAGCAATGAAGAAAAATGAAATAAAGACTTTTTAAGGCCCCATGGGGGCTCAGAGATCAGAGAACCTGTAGGGCTGACCTAGGTCCTCTGCATTTACATAATGCCTGAGCAGCTTGGTGTTCTTGAGGGACTCCCAACTGTGAAAGTGGGGCTGTCTGGTCTACTCCTTTTCTTCCTCCTGGGTTGTCTTGTCCAACCTTGATGTGATGGTATATGTCTAGTCTTATTGTAGCCTGTTCTTTTTTGAAGGGAGACAGGGTTAGCTCTGGGGGAGAGGGGAGGTGAGGAGAGAGACTGGGGGCAGGAGGAGGGAAAACTGCAGTCCAGATGTAATAGAAGCAAGAAGGAAAAACAAAGTTGTGGTGGCATAGGCCTTTAATCCCAGCACTCACTCAGGAGGTAGAAAGACAAAGACAGTCAGATCTCTGTGAGTTCAAGGACAGCCTGGTTACAAATCTAGTTTCAGGACAGCTAAAGCTGTTTACACAGTGAAACCCTGTCTTGAAAACAAAACAAAACAAAAAACGGGGGGCGGAGGGCTCTGATGGAAGCAGGCAGAGGGGTTTAAGAACAAAGTAAAATGACACACTGTAAGAAAATATCATTCATACTACTTTGTATGCCAACTTACAAAATCATTTTTAAAACGCAAATATAAAAAAAGTACAAATCACAGAAAGATAACGCGGAATTTAGTATTTTACACATCCATGCACAGGAATAATAATCACTACATTAAGAGTCAAGATGAATCTGAGAAGGAAAGAAAATCAGAGTGGAAAGAGCTCACGATGCATTTCACACCTTATTTTAAATAGCATGTACAAGAATATGCTTTATTGTCTATTTTTTATATCTCAAATATTTATAATGAAGTTACTTTAAATTATTCTTTAAAGTTATTATAAACTCTTGGCTGAAAGACATTTAAGTTTTGTTGCACCCCCCTCCTAATGTTAATTTATCAATTTTAAAAAGCATGAATCAGTAGTTTTAATTCTGAAAATAATAAAACAGCTTTTAACAGTTGTAGCAAAAAAAAAATAACAGGCTTGAAAATATAATGTGATTTTGACTCAGCTTAACATATAAAGATTTACTTATGATGAAATGACCAACAAAGTTTCACATTAATCTTTGCATACAACAAAACCAATACACAGATTATTTATTTCATGTTTTAAACATTTGCTTTCAAAATTTACCTCATGAGCCAACATTCTGTATAATTCTTCTTTTGTAATAGCCAGTCGTTCCCTGTCAATGCTATCGACAACAAGAATGATGAACTAGAAGGCAATTTTAAGATAAAAGAAGAAAATTAGTGGCATGTTCAGTTTTCTGCAAAACTATTGCAGTGACATTAGCTCTCAGTGGGCATCAGCTCTGCTATGGGGCATGAGTGCTGTTCCATCAGAGGAAGCTTAACACAGAAGCACAGCAAGCAGGAAAGTCAGATGCTAGCAAGAAAGCAACCAACTTGCAGTCTTGGCAATCAAAAAGCAAGCCCAACCTGACCTTTTAAAGCTCCCAATTGGGGGTAATAAAAAGTAACATTTATAGCAAAACAGGAATTTAATACTCTTTCATTAAACTTCAAAGTCTTCATTCCACCATCCATTTACATCATTGGGGATAAAATGACCCTTTCACAGGGGTCAAATATCAGATATCTTGCATATCAGATATTTGCATTACAATTAATTACAGTAGCAAAATTGCAGTTATGAAGTAGCAATGAAATAATTTGGTTCCGGGATACTATAACACGAGGAACTATAGTGAAGGGCCTCAGCATTCAGAAGGTTGAGAACCACTGAATTTTAGACAATTAATAATCTATTATTTGTTTGTATAAAGTGTTTTGCCTATTAAATGCCTGGCCAAGTAAGACATTTTTTGCAGAAGGAATTTCAGCAATAAAAGCTCAATAAGAAAAGTATGCTGACTGGGAGTTGGTGGTGCACACCTTTAATCCCAGCACTCGGGAGGCAGAGGCAGGCGGATCTCTGTGAGTTCGAGGCCAGTCTGGTCTCCAGAGCGAGTGCCAGGACAGGCTTCAAAGCTACAAAGAGAAACCCTGTCTTGAAAAACCAAAGGGAAAAAAAAAAGTATGCTGAACTGTGCTAAGTTACATGTACTGACATTAATAAGCTAAGATGAAGGTGATAGTAGAAAAAGCAAGGAAAACTGGAGAATTTCTGTGTATGCACCTTTGTGTTGTGGTGGAGATAGGGGAAAGGGAGGGAAAGGGGAGGGAGAAAAGGAGGGAGGGAGAGAGGAAGGGAAAAAGAGTATAAAGTAGTTCTTAAAAAATGAAAATACAAGCAAATAAAAAACTAAATAAAAGCAAGTTTATTAACCAAGAAAATAGGGAAAAGAAACTACTAAACCAAATAATGTGCAAAAGAAAGGGTTAAAAACTCAGGGGTAAATAGTGTCATTTCTCCTACAAATTGGAGAGCAATACAAGCCAAGTTACAATAGAGAGGCTGGAATCAACTTACAGGATAACCACCTACAAAAAGAAGGGAGCATGGCAAAGAAAGGGCAGAATATTGGGAAGTGACTGGGTTAATGACAGGAAGCTATCAGGAATTAACATCCTTAGAACTCCTTACATTACAATGGAGCTACTCACTTTGGAAGGCCAAAGAAAGATTACAAGGGTGAAAAAAGTAGTGAGTGAAACATCACCTCATAAAATCTTTTCCTGGAATCTAAGTCTGCAAATGTAACGGACCATGCTGGTGTGCTGCAATAAATTCTTTGTGGTAAATGAGATATACTTGTAGCAATGGTTTACAAAAAGAACATTTAGTGCTAATAGCATTTGTAATAAGATATCTCTGACCCAGGCTAAGCCTAGATTGTCAGCAATTTCAATAACTACCCCTTTGAATTAACTGCTTGAAGTACACTTGGTTCAGCTTGAATCACCTTTAACCTGTTTGCGTACAAGAACTGCTTTTCTTTACAACTGTAAGCTTTGACAGTGAACTCTGGAAAAGTACCTGTTACCTGAGCATATTTAAATGCTGCTATTCTCCCAGTAGTATTTTACTTTACAAATGTGTATTCAGCAGGCTGATAACCCTATTTTCTTACCAAGCACTTCTGTGCTGCCAAACCCCCAAGAAGAAGATAGCTCAGTGCCATTCATTACAAGTGTTGCATACTGGCAACATGCCAGACTGGCTCATATACTATATTGCAATAGCACACACACACACAAAAACTATATTAGTAAATACAGATCCACAAAGTATTTTTTTATTTTATTTTATTTTAAAAGGCAACTTGTGCACCAAAAATTCTTTGCATTATACTCTTTTAGCTCCAATTTTTATAAAATGTCATTTTAGATAACATGATTCCTTAGCTGTACCTCCTTACAAAGAAAGCTTACATGTGTGACTGTATGCCATTATTCAAAATGATAAAGCTAAAAACCACTTTATGCTCATTTTAAAAATATCTGCCTCTAGAAAGACATACAAGTACAAATGAAGAAAATATGGATGTATTCTCCAAGCTAATATGGAACTAATAAGTAATAATAAAAAAGAAAACAATACCCTGGAAGGTTCCCTGTGTAGAAACTGCTCCATTGTGAAGCTCTGCAGACATGCTCTCTGCAGAATGTTCCTGGGCACTGCCCTCTCAGGGCCCATCAGAGACCAACACATTCATCTCGTCTACAGATGATGCTCACCATGGTCCCTAGTCACTCCCCTATGGGCCTACATGATTGCTTCTGCAATCGGCCTACATGACTGCTTCTACAATCGTGTCAGCAGCAGAACACTGGAAACACATTCTCTTGTGCAATGGAAGTTTGCAGAAGTTCATATATTCAGAGTGGCTTCTCTTGAGTAACTCCTCTATTTACTTTTAACACAAGCAATTTCTTCCCATTGTTTCAAAATACTCAATAAATATATAATAAAAATTCTAAGTTCCTTGCTTTTTTTCTAGCTCAGTGGAGAAAAGTACAAAACCCTCTAAAAAGATAGTGATGTCTGGGGATGCCCTGCAAGCCTATTAATTTCATATTAATTAATTAATTAATCACATCTAAAACTCTGAGATGTTATTTGAAAAATTCAAATAAATATTTTACCCCTGCCCTCATCAGGTGCTTGTGTGAAGCTTTCAGATTGTGGGAAGATGTGTCATTCAGCCAGTGTCACATTTCTCCAGTCCATGGGGCACTGAAAGTGACACTGCGAGGATGGCCTGAGCCAGCCAGAGTAAGCTCTCAGCTGAGAGGGTGTGGGCCAGGCATGGAGCTGCACACCTGTAATCCCAGTCCTTAGGAGGCAGAGAGTCAAGAGGATGGGTGTTAATTAGCTTGAGGCCAGCCTGAGCTGCACAGCAAGTTCTGTCAGCCAGGTACATTTTGCATGTATATAATCTATTGACTTTAGTAAAATAGGTTTACTTTTCAATGTTTTCATTGACTATTTTGTCCCCTCGTAGGGGAAAAAAAATACAAGCACCCTCTTGGATCTTACTTCCAAATTTCCCTCTTTCCAAGCCTCAGCAGTGAGACACCACTGTGAACAGAATTCTTAGCACTCCTTTCTACCTGCCTTTTTCTACCATGATGAAATCTGAATTCCTTATGAAAGGCAATTGCTAATATGCCTCATTACAGCCTAGTCATCTTCTATGCTGATTCTTAGAAATTTGTTTTAAAATTCAAATTCAAATGTAATTTTGGCGTACCTCTGTGTTTGAATAATAGGTGTTCCAGGATGACCGCAGAGACTCTTGACCACCAATATCCCACATAAGAAAATGAGTGTTCTTCACAACTATTTCTTCAACATTGCTTCCTATGGTTGGAGAAGTATGAACTACTTCATTCATTAAGCTGTTGAAAGACACCATTGAAAACTCTTTTGTAAATCTTGAGAACCCAAGCACATTTTCTCTCTACATTTTTAAAAGATGCCAACCTTTTGTACTTATACCAATCATAATAATCACTGACACAAGAAAAAAAAGCTTGGAGACTTCCTGTACAAATAAAGACGTAAAACATCAATGCAGCCCCCGAAGACTGTTTTCTGCTTTCTAAGCAGAGGGAACTGCAAGCCTGATGCACACAGATGAGAACACAGTGGTGTGGGTTTGAATGTCTGTGGGCAAAATACCAACATGACCAGTTAATTACTGTATTGGAACCAATGTTCCATCCTGAAAGAGCAATTTCTAGATAACTGTGACAACAATACTTGCGAAAGTAGCAGTAACTCAGTAATATTCTATGCATCATTTTCCTGAATGTCTATGTAAGCAAGGTAAGAGTTAGTTCAACCATAAAAAGTAGTGTAGGCTTATCAACCTATAGTCTTAAGGTCACACATAAATAGAAACTTTATGAATATTGATTCTCATATCACTTGTATTATCTTACTGATTGCTTAAACACTTCTTTCAAAATACATATATTTGCTGATAGCATTCCACAATAACAGGTATTTAAAGACACAATTTTCTCTTGAGTTTCACAGGTTATGTGTTTGACACTATTTACAAGACTGCTATCAAAGATGAGAAGTATCAGAGATATTTGAGCTTTATATTAAAGGCTAAATGATATTAATACACATTTTGGCCAATGAATAAAAATATACTAAAAAAAAGTAATGATCCAACTCTGAAACAATAACACTTGAGGAGATGCCTGCTAGCAAATGTATCAGTTAGGCAGTGGGAAAGTGAGCATCTTTGGCAAGCTGAAGGCTAACAATGCTGCTTTTCCCCCACCTTCCTTTGTAGTGCTAGGAATTAAGCCCAGTATCTTATAAAGAATTGCTTTGCTGAGCTATAACCCAGCCCTAAACCAGTGGGATTTAAATGCAAGATGAAGAAGGGAGGGGTGATATTCATATAACAGTGCCAAGTACTGTATGACTATTTATTAAAATCCTCTGGGTATGTAAATACATTTCCACAGCTTAACATGTCTTTGGCACTGAAAGAATGGGAAATCCTCAGACAGTGGGTTCATGAGGTGTTAACATTTACTGATGGTGAGTCTTAATGTATTCTGAGAATTTCAAACCTCTCCCTTTTGAAAGCTACTAAAAGTATTCTGACCACCATCAATTCAGACAAGTCGGGCTCTGTTAAACAATCCCAAAGCTCTTAGGGGAGAGCAGCTTCCCCAAGACAGCATTCTATTTACTCAGGGGTCCTTCAGGAAATGTTCCTTAAGTCTGAGTCATCTCATCACCTCACCCCAGGATGATCTGTACTTTATTTCAGTTTAATATTAAAGTTCATTTTCCTTAGGAAGTCAGAAGGCGAGTACATGGAGGCTTTAGTGAACCTATGATATTTTATTTTACTTTTTTATTTAGCAAAACAGAAAAAGTTACATGTCTAAGTCTACTGTATCATTAAAACTGGAAAGAATAGCATTTCATTACTTATAAAAATAAAGTTTTTCAAAAACTATTAAATAGGCACCAATACTTACAACTGATAAAGAATGGTGGTCTTCCCTGCATTATCCAGCCCCACAATGATTACTTTGTGCTCTAAAAAAGAAAACAAGTCATGAACATGTGCACTATTGCATGAGTACAATGGTGATTATAACTGAGACTCATCTGGTAAGCACCCACTACTGAAGCATTATGGGGGGAAACTTTATGTAGTAAGGACCTGCCATGAGTGAAACAAGCCACGACAGTGTTTTCTATGGAGTCCTCCTGTTAACATGTTTAGACTGGTTAGCTAGAAACAGAGACTTTGGTCACTTAGCAGTAGAGGCAGGGTCGTTCAAATAAATTCCAACATCATGAGTACAAAATGTTGGCTCTGCACACCTGCTCAAAGTCTGCTGTTCAAATTGGCTTTAAGTTGTTTTAACATAAGCAAATTTTCCCACCCACATGTACCAACATTTTTGCCTTTCATTTAAAATTGACATTTACTGCTGAAAACCCTCAATGCTCTTTCCATTAGCAGACAGATTTTTATTTTTACATTAATTGGCAGAAGTAAAAGCAATTACTTAGCCTTCAATGGTTTTTATTGAAACATGTTTTATGTAATCATTCTAAGTAGATGGTTCTGTTGACACTGTCCAACAAAAGCCTTTCCCCTTCTGATGACAGGCACTAAATAACCATTTCGTTATAGACAGTTATTAGGCCTAATTATTCTGTTAAGTGGTACCTATTTAGAAATCTGTTCTGAATGTATGATAGAAAATCCCCAAATCTATTCAGAGTACTTCAAAATGCCTCTTTTTGGACATAGGGGGTTCAACAAGCCACCACCCCTAGCTGAGAAGCTATTGATAGCTGATGGTTCCTGGCTCAGTTTTCCTCAATGGTGTGACTCCTAGTAGTCACCCATGCTCCAGTGAATGGGCCCACACCCAAGAATATGTGAGCAGCACACACAGGGCTTGGTGGGTGGGGGAGAGAGACAGAAAGACAGAGGGAGGGAGATCGAGGGGGAAGGGGAGGAGGAAATGAAAGGGAAGGAAGAAGGGCAGAAGTGGGAGGGGGGACACAATGTTGGGAGGGAGTTAAGGGGATCTGGGAGGAATAAGGAGGAGTGGTTGGGGGAGAAGTAGGAGGTAACTGTGATCAAAATACATGGTATGCACGCATGCATGAAAACTTCAAGGCACAAATATACATAAAAATTCCCCTCTAGAACAAGATGCTACTAGAACAAGATACTCTAGAACAAGATGCTACAGTGCTTCAGCAGGGCAGGGAGGGAAGCTCCACAAGAACTCAGGAGAGAGACACTTCTTTCACTAGCCTGCCACTTTTCTCATCACTGCAAGTGAACTCTTTCTTGCCTTTACTACGATTTCTTTGTCTCTTCCACTGATCTTTGGGGATGGGTAGCTGTGGGACCCCCAGAGTGGGACCTCTGGCTAAGGACTCCAGGGACATTTCTACTCTCACACCAGATAAGAACACAGTTTAAAGGCTGATGGTATCAGGTATGAGCCAAAAATGTAGGTCTACTATTTAAACACCATCAATGTGTAACAAAGAGACAATGTGGTAAGATTTGTTTAAGATGGGGAAAAGCGTTTCCTCTTTGACCCACATCTTCACCTTGACAAATTTTCTCAAATTTCCACAAACACAAATATCCTCAAGAGTGACTGCAGACCTTTGCTAGCAAGTTTAGAAACATCCACAGACATTAGTAGGGGACCATAATTAGCTTACAGATATAAGAAACATTAAATAAGTCTTAAGTCTTTTCTATCAAATACTATACAACTTGTACTTATGACAAGGAATTCATATCTTTTTATCTCCCCCACCTTGAACTTGTAAGACTTTTATGCAGATGTTTTAACGCCCTCCCTCATGTGCCCCCAAAGTAAAACCTTTGTTTGCACAAAGGCCCTGCACTTGGATTACAGTGGCAGACACCTCCCCTTCATTTTCTTTGAACCAATTCTTTTAAAACAAGCTAATTTCAAAAGACCACAGAGTCAGACCCTAGCCAATAGGGAAAAGAGAGAGTTCCCACCCCTATCAGAATAAAAAACACTAAGTGCATGTCTCTGAAGGCTTCCTTTTTGGAGTGCACCCTCTTGATCAAGAGCGAAGTTTTGCCTGGCAGAGACACTTCAATTGGAGTGGTAGTCTCTTTCTTAAAGACCCCAAACTTGCTTCTAACACAGAGCAGCAATACAACAGAACAGCTGGCAGCCTGAGAAGAGAAGGATATATATTTAGAACCATGGTGATGTGCTCATAACTTAAGTAAAAGGAACCAGTGTAGCACCAACCTTTAAGCTTAGCATTCAGGAGTTTCCTAAGTTCAAGACCAGTCTGGGTTACAAATAAGATGCTACCTTAAAGTAAATGAAGAAAGGAGAAATGAGACAGCCTTGTGAAGCCCAATACTGTAAACATTTCACTCCAGGGCCTTGCTTTTAGTGAGTATCAAAATACTGTTAATATATTTTTAAGCCTTAACAGTGCCACAACCAACAAAAAGATGAAGCACAATTTGTAATGGCAAACTTCTCTGTCTTCCTATGATGTACTTATCAGTACGAACTATCTGTAGTATATTACAGGATAAGTAGACAGTGGAAAGGCTATTTACATGTTGGCAAAATCTACTCTGTAGTACAACAAAATTATTACAACTGACTCAATTTTCTTTCTGTGGCTGTTGGCTTGAATTCCCTAGGTTCTGATGGAACCTTGACACGCTCCCCAGGTTTGTTCTCCTTAAAGAATAAGTACAAGAGCATTCTTTATCAACATAGGAACAAACAGACTGCTTGGCACCAGGCATTCTCCATCTTTTAACAGCCTAGCTCTAGAGACCTCAGTATGACTGCAGCAGTAAGAAAAAAAGCCGCTGGAACAGCAAACCTTGGTTGCCCAGAAATCCTGCTCAGGGAAGAGAATGGGTAGCAGCACCAGATGGTTCACCGTTGAAATAATTCATGTGGGTAACTGCAACTATTTTTAAACCATTTTGTATTATGGTGAGTGTTGCAGAATGTTTGTGCACTTTGAAGATGTATGTGTCTTTGCCAAGGCACCTTCTGATTGGTTTAATAAGAGCTAAATGGCCAATAGCTAGGCAGGAGAGGATAGGCAGGATTTCTGGAGAGAGGAAGAGGAAGAATCAAGGTGCAGGGATTTCACTGGCAGACTAGGAGGAGTAAGTTGGAATGCCACACTGAGGAAAGGTAAAAGCCAAGTGACAGAATGAAGATTAAAAGAAACAGGTTCATTTAAGAGCTAGTTGGGAAAAAGCCTAAGCTAAGGCCAAGCTTTCATAATAATAAATAAGTCTCCATGAGGGTGTGGCAATACAAAGATAGTCTGACAAGAAAGCTTACTACAGGTGAGGCCCATAGTATTAAAAGCCTGATGCTTACACTCATAAAATAATCCATCATTTGAAAGGTTGGTCTCCAAGTGAATTGAAGGAAAGATACTTTGGTGGTGAACAGGGTATAGACTTCATGTTCAAACACTAGGATCTTATCCTTCAGATCCCTTTCCCTTCACCTCAAGGGAACTCTGGCAGTTAAAACAAAGCACACAATTTCAGCTTTCTTAGGATGAATGTATGCACAATATCTTTCAGATAAAGTGGCCTGGCCTAACTACTCAAGAAAACTGTCATTGACAACCAAAATCTACACATACAAAACCCTGCCAGAAAGGACTGTCCTTTGTAAAAGCATGAAGTAATGCAGTTTAGATCTTGGCTCTGAAGACATATCAATACAATCTATACAGCAAGAATGAGGGCAGGCTCAAAGGCCTGCTAGTAAAGACCATGTTCAAAAAGGCCATTTACCCTGTTATGTGACTGCATCTCTCCCACCAACTGCCTGCTATGTTTAATCGATACTTGAGTTTGTCAATGGCTGAATAATTCAACCCACATTAGTGAAGTTGTTATCAAACAATGAGCAATGAGGGAAATGCAAAAAGTGACGTGTGTGTGTGTGTGTGTGTGTGTGTGTGTGTGTGTGTGTGTGTGTGTGTGTGTGTATAGACTCTACTACTTCTAAGGAAAAACAAAAGCACAAAACAAAACAAACAAGCCCTAAATGTACTGTCTCTATGCAATGCTTCAATTAATAAGGTGCAAGCCTTTTTAAAGGTTCCCGTGCCAGAGGGGTCTGTTTCTGGTGGATACACAGGCTGAGCTACTTCTGTGTAGAGCACACAGTACTATGTCATGCCTAGGAGGGACCCCAGGCTTGAAAATCTGACAGCACTGTTCTACGCTGCTGTCTTTTGGTTGGACATAATCAATAGGCCACATACGTACAACTCATGTGTAGGAACCAAAATCAACTGACCTGTGTCAGAAACTTTCTGTGATGTTGCTTAAGTATTAATCATTTCCCTCATTTATGCCATAGTAAACTAAAGTAAATGTCAAAAGGTTTTTATAAATGTGTATTATTTGCATTACTCAGCAGTAACTGTTAGCATCTATTGACCCAGGAGGTTAGAAAGAAGAAGAAGGTAAAAGAAAAAAACAAACAAACGGAAACCTTTTAAGAAGTCACTTAGATCAAGGTAGTACTGATTGCAAAGGAGAAGGAATCTATCCCTAAAGTCAAAATTGCTGCCAATCTGATGGGGCATTAATGTCATTTAATGTAATGTATTGTCATTTAACCTAAGTGTAGTGAGTACAGATTTCTATTTCACTAGAGTTTAGACATATCAAGCTCACTGGGACATTTAAAATCCTACCTGATTCTCAAGGTATGGAGAGGAAAGCCAGTGTTCTTACAAGTCCTCAAGTCACTGTCTCAGGAAAACTAAACATTCAACTCACTGCCTCAAACAGCCTAAATTGGTGACTTAGAACAGGTTTTGAAACATCAGATGAACCCTTCATCCATTTTGAGAAGCATTTACTTTCCAACATGAACAAAACTGCTTAAAGTTTTGGTCCAGAATACCATGTTACTGAATAGAATACTACTGGAGAAAAAAGATCAGAAAAGCACTATATAGTGACATGATTTCAAAAATTGTGAATAACATATGCAAATTTAAGTAATCTAAAATGCATATTGTTAAAACATTATAAAATGGCAGACTTCTTTTTAAGGTATATGAGAATTTCAT